CCCAATCTACAACACGGCTGCCAAAAAGTGTCTCACCAGCCAAAGCCGGGAGCCACCGGGATTCCCCCTCACTAGAACAAACCCCCAAAACATCAGGATACATCGTTTTCTCAGCGTCACCGTGGCAATAATTCCTCACTTCTAACATATAGAGCTCTTTGTTCTCGCGGCCGCGGCAGCTACATCCGTCCTCCGGGCCGGCCGCCGGAGGCGGGAGGCGCAGACGAACCGGGGGTCTGCGCCGCCACGCCGCGCCGGACCGGGACTATCTGCACCGGCCCAGCTACTGCGACGCCGCCTTCGCTCTGGAGCAGATTTCCAAGGTGCATTTCAGACTCTCCTCTCCTCCCACTCTCTCATCCCTCCTCTTCCTCTTTGGGTTCGCCTGGCCACACACACTTCTCCAGGAAAAGAAGCAGACAAGCGGGGATTGAAAAATTCAAACCCCTTCTCCGGTCCGGGGAGGAAAAGGCTGTCTGAGGTCCGCAGGGGGTGGAGGGTGTGTGTGTCTGTGCGCGCGCGCGTGTGTGTGTACACGCGCCCTCCCGGCGTGCCTTTTCCGGAGCCCTGGGAAGTGGTCCGCGGTGGACCACCTTGGGGGGGGCGCAGCGCGGCCTGCCCGGGGCCCCCGGCCTCGGAGCTCCCTCTTCCCGCGCTCCTGCCCCTATTTACAGCCCAAACCCCTGTAATGCTGCCACATTTCTTAACCTCTCGGAGGGGGAGGCGGAGTACAGAGAGGCGGAGAGAAGGGGGGAGGGAGCCGAAATAAAGGTGGTTTCCTTTTCTGGCAGCCGGTTTTGCTTTTGTTGAGCATGAAATCTCAGCTCCCTTAAAAATTATCTTTGGAAGAGGGCATCTCCCCTCTTGTTTTCCAGTTTTTTACCCAGTTCTCAGAGCCTTGGGGGAAAGGGAACGTTGTAAACAAATTGCCACCTTAAATCCGCGGTCCGGGTCTGCGGAGCGGCCGGGTTCATTGTGTTTACAAGGCTCGTTGAAATGTGTGGAATCCGGGGAAGGCGAGCACCCAGACGGGGGCCTGCCGGGGCCACGGCCACCGCCGGGGAAAACGCCGCCGCCGGGAGCAGCCAGCGCCCAGTCGGGACCCCGGGCCTGGGCCCTTCCCTTGTGCACTCCGCTGCTTTTTATGTTTACCGAGAAGGAAAGGGAGAGGAGGGAAAGATCCTTGTGGCTGCCCTCTTCCGATCACAAATATTGTAAGTTGCAGATGGCTGCCCCACTTCCTAATTCAGCTCACACGGCGTCTCCCAACGCTATGGAAATGCGTCCGGAGAGAGCTCCCCGGCCGCGCTCACCACGTGTATCCCCTTCCTACCACGCCGGGCGAGGGCCAGAATGGGGAATTCTGAACTGCATTGCTCCCCAATCCCCCTAATCCCCCAGCCCCCGTCCCTGCAGGGGCACCCCCAAGAAAGGTGAAGGGTGGGGCAGGATTTGCGCGGAAGGGAGCCGACTTTTGCTGGTTCTTAAACGTTGGGCTCCTTTGCAGGGATTACGCAGCCTCTGCCTTACCAGGTCCGGCGTGGCTACTGCGCGTGTCGAGTGATTTCTCTCCTCTCTGCCTCGGCTTCCCCTTCCCCTGTTCTTACACTCCCCCAACCCCCGCCAGTGCCGCACGTCGCACGCGGGGATGCTGCGCAGGCCACGCGTGGGGGCGCCCCTGCTGTCGCCCAGGTTCAACTCCCACGCTGCAGCCCGACTTTGATTTATGCCTAGTCCCCCGGGCACCCCCCCCCTCCCGCCCACGCCGCTCGCGTTCTCTCGTGCGGGCGGGGGTTCCAGCCTCGAGGGCATCCCCCACGGCTTTCGCGGGATCCGCTGGCGGGTGCGCGCAAGCGGGCGTGGGCGCGCGGGCCGCGGCTCCCCGGCGCTCACCACTCGTCCTTTCTGCTTCATCCTCAGGGGAAAGCTACTGGCCGGAAAGCGCCGCTGTGGCTGCGAGCGAAGTTTCAGAGACTCTTATTTAAACTGGGTTGTTACATTCAAAAAAACTGCGGCAAGTTCTTGGTTGTGGGCCTCCTCATATTTGGGGCCTTCGCTGTGGGATTAAAGGCAGCTAATCTGGAGACAAGCGTGGAGGAGCTCTGGGTGGAAGGTAAGAGCCCGACGCGG